AGCCAGGCCCGACGGCAGAGCCTGCAGGGCCCAGGGTAAAGCGAAACCCCGACGTCCCTCATTGTAAAATGGAAGAAATTCAGGAGGGCGACAGCCAAGCGTTAAACCCGGGCTTGGGCGACTGCCGGGGTCTTGCCCCCACGATGCCGGCCCTGCCTGTAGTCCGTTTCCCACAGCCAGAGGGGGTTTCTCAAGATGTAAGTGGGATCTGTGTCCTTGCTCTAGACCACCAGTGGCTTCCCGGTCAACCCACCGCAGCACATGCCCCGCTATGTGGCCTTCTTGGCCGGCTGGCCCCCACCGTGCCTCGCCGAGGTCTGCTCCCCTTTTCCCGGCCACCGCCAAGATCCTTCCCTCTGCCTGGGATTTTCTCTCGCCCCAGACCTCTGTATGACTTGCACCCCCTTCCTGTTCGATATTAAATTTGTCAGTCCCCGGCCTGGCTGCTTCTGGCTCCAAAACTTCAGCCCTCCTGTTCCTTGGTCGGCCCTGGTGTTGGCTCAGCCGAGGAGGATCCCCAGCACCCGGGGCAGGCGGGTGGGCTGCCAGAGGACCCGTGCAGAGTGCATACACACCGGCTTCGCACCGTCCAAGCTGCTGAGCATGCGGAGTTTCATGTGATTTTGTCAGCATGGACTGGAAACAGATCCAGAGAAGTAAAATCCCCTCCTTGCTCCCCCGCCCCCAGCAGCGCACCTTTCGCCCCAGAGGAACCGTCTTCCTCTTCCTGGCCTGGGGGACCGAGAGAAAGGGGCCCCCGGTGGAGGGTGCGCCTGGCCACAGCTCGGCGGGCCAGCAGGGCAGGGGTGCAGGGCCCTACGGGAAGCAGCACAGGAAGGGCCTGGTGAGCAGCAATGTTCGTGTCTGCCACGCTTGCTTTTGCTGTCCTTAACGCATGTGTGTATTTTATTTTTATTTTTTTAAAGATTTTATTCATTTATTCATGAGAGACAGAGAGAGAGGCAGAGGCAGAGGGAGAAGCAGGCTTCCCGCCGAGCAGGGAGCCCGACGCAGGGCTCGATCCCAGGACCCCGGGGTAATGACCTGAGCCGAAGGCAGCCGCTTAACGACTGAGCCACCCAGGCGCCCCGCATGCGTGTATTTTCACAAAGCACTTCCAGGTGCATGTTGGGCATCACGACCACACCCCTGCGTAACACAGTGACATCCTAAACACGAATGACCGTTTCCTAGTGTCACCCAACATCCGCCCTCGTTCAGATTTCCCCCCCTCGTCCCCATGTGTCTTCACACATCTCTGGGCGTGCGGTGGTGGAGCGGAGCCCGCTCTTGTTTCTTCAGGGGCAGAGCTTTCTTCCTCTTTCTTCCTTGCTGTCCTCCTCCCACTCTCCCTCTTTCTAATGGGGGGCTAGTGAGCAGCCTTACGGAGCTATAATTCACATATGGAGTTCGCCCACTTAATGCGTACAGTTCCACGGTTTCTGGTGTGTTCACAGAGTTGCATGACCATCGGCACAGTCAGTTTCAGAATATTTCCATCACCCCATAAAGAAACCCCAGACCTCAGCCTTCTGTGTCTGGTTCCCTCCCTGAGCGTCGTGGGCTTGGGTCTGTCCCTGGGGCAGTGCGTGTGGGCGCCTCGCTCCTGTTCGAGGCTGAGGGACGTGCCCGTGGGTGGGGGACACGCCGTGTGCATCTGTTTGTCCATCGAGGGACACTCGGGTTGTTTCTACCTTTTGGCCATTGTGGACAGTGCTGCTGTGAACATGGATGCACACATTTTTGTGTGGACACACGTTTTCATTTCTCTTGGGCCTATTTCTACCGGTAGAATTGCTGGGTCGTCTGGTAATTCTAGGTGTAACTTTCTGAGGAGCCGCCACACTGTTTTCCTCAGCGGCCGCCTCATTTTCCATCCCCCGCAGCCGTGTGTCAGGGTTCCCGTTTCTCCACATCTCCCCAGCACTAGTTGTTGTCTGTTTTTTTGTTTTTATTATTTTTTTATTACAACCATCCTGGTGGGGGCGAAGCGTCTCTTGCGGTTTTGGTTTGCGTGGTCCTGATGGCTAAACGTGTTGATCGGCATTTTGTGTGCTTGTTGGCCACGTGTGTATTTTCATTGGAGAAATGTCTGTTTGAGCCCTTTGCCCACTTGTTTACTGGGCCGTTTGTCTTAAAAGTCTCCTGTTGTGAATGCGCCCGCTTTTTGGCACACCACTGACCTGTGAAGAGCGCGGTGGTCTTTCCGGAGTGGCCTACACGTTCCCTCAGGGGGCGCTCGCTTGGTCCTCTGCCCCCGCCGTGTTCCCAATAAACTGGGAGCTTGGCCCGGGGCTGCTGTTCGCTGAGATTCCTTTTTCGTTTCTTAAGTATGTACACGTATGATTTTTTATTTGCCTGCCTTCATAAAATGCGTCAAGGGTATGGAGTGTTGGGATTATAAACCATTTTAATTTTCTTCTTTGTATTTACCTACTCAGAACCTTCATTTCAAAAGGCACAAATAAGGCAGAGGAAAAATCACACATAATCCGCCGCTGAGCTGCATGTTGATGATGCCGGTGGTTGGAGTAAAGCGTGTCTCGCCGGCGCGCATGTGCAGAAAACCCACCTGCTGTCTCATCATCTGCTCTTTCCACCTCCTGGATGGGAAACTGCTCTCTGCATCATGATTTTTGATGTGTGAGGGAGCTCGTGTGGGCAGGACCCTGGGCTGCCCTGGCTCTGGCTGGGACGAGCTGGTCCTGGGGAGGTGGTGGGCGTACCACACTGCGCCATCCCCCCCCCCGCCCCCGCCGTGCCGGGTGGCGGACGGGCCGGAGACAGCCTCCACCGGAGGTGACACCGCTTGTCCCCTGTAGGCCACACGTGAGCTAGCCCGGGGGCAGAAGCAGCCAGCTGGCCAGGATCGGCCAAGCCAAGGATGGGAGCTGTTGGGTGTGGGGACTCAGGCCCTGCCACCTACCTGCGTGGGGCCTCGGCACATGATTTTCCCTGTGGCCTCAGTGAGCTGTGCAAAACGAGCTGATTGTGTGGAGTGGACGAGTCACCCACATCAGTCACGTACATGCTCATGTGCCCGCTGCCAACCAAGCTGGGCACTGTCCACGGCAGGCTGAGGGCTTAGGACCAGGGGCCACGACCAGGGGGGATCATGTCCAGCACAGGCTGAGTTGCTCACCCACACGAGACGGGTGGTTGGCAGGGTCACTTCGGGGGCTCACCGCACTGTGCCATTGGGGGGTGGCAGGGAGCGGGGTGGGAGTTGCAGGGTTGGGGGTGGCAGGGAGTGGGTGACAGGGGTGGGGAGTGGGCTGGTGGGAGGCTGGTGGGGGGTGGCAGGGAGTGGGGTGGCCTGTGGGCTTCGGGCAGAGGAAGCTGGTGTCGAGTTCGAGCTGGTGTCTCGTGTCTCATCTGAGGTCCCTGCCTAGGGAGGTCTCCCCACCACCCCGCCCTTCTGCGGCTCCCTCCATAACTAACAGCCCAGCTCAGTCCACACTGATGTTCCAAGAGTGTCAGAGTCAAGGTCATCCCCCCGGGCCATGAGCTCCCCCAGGATGGACACGCTGTGTCCTGTTGCCAGCCGCGGAGGCCATAAGTGAGCCCCACATGGTGGCATCTGGTCTGGAGGGGGGAGGGCAGGTGGGTTGGGGGCTTGGGTGGGGCTGCAGGTCCCGGGCCCCGGCTGCAGGCGAGGGGGCTGGCTTGGGATGGCGTGGTGGTCAGTCCCAGGGGCTGGTCAGGGCTCCAGTGGGGCAGCCTGCTGGGTGGGCAGCCTGGCTGTGGCCCAGGTCCTGTGGTACCTGCTGCCCTGGAGGGAGCTTGCTGACAACCCCTTTCCCTTTATTAAGCTGTGTTTTCACGTGGGTTCCCTGTGATTCCACCCAGAGCTATTGTCACACAGTGCCATGCACACTCCTGCTTGGTGGCCACGCCTCAAGGAGAAGCCTTGGGACTTGCTGTGTACATGGGGCAGAGGGCCATGGTGGGGTCCCAGCCCAGGTCAGTGATGACCCCCCAGGTCAGGGTCCTCAAGAGCCCTTACTGGCAGTGCTATCCCCCTGGTCCCAGCCCCTTCACCACAGGTGGGGGTTGGGGAGTTGAGGGCAGGGCCTGGAAGGGGTGCCTGAGGCCCCCAGAACCTACTCGGCAGATACTGCAGGCCTTCGCAGCCGTTCCTGGGCTCATGCTGCCCTCTAGTGCCTGCCAGGGGGAGTGCCATTCGGGGAGGCTGCGGCGGCAACTTGGCGACATGGAAGCCCCCGTCCAGGGCGGGAGGACTCCCTGGCCGCCTTTCTCTTTGCCCAGCTTACTTGAGGGTGAGAGGAAGTTGGGTTTGGCGAATTGTCTTCCCGGTTCTCAGGTCTGTATGCACTTGGGTTCTGACCTCTTCCAAGGGACCTTTCCCCAGAGTCTGTCCCCAAGCCCCTCCCTGCTTGGGATTGGCCACCGACTGCCTCGCTGGGTCCCCTTACCTCCTGGAACAGGAGGGGGCTGCTGCAGTGTGTGGCCTCCTCACCAAGAGGAGCCTGATCCCCAGCCTCTCTTCGGATATCCCCAGCGTATCAGCCACGCTCTCGGCTCCTACGCAGAAACTTCCAGGCTTGGTTGCAGCTGAGGGTGACACTCACACCCACAGCCTCACTCACCTTGGAAAGCCCACCACACGGGCTGCTGTCGGTGTGGGTATCCGGCTCCGAAGTAGATGCGTTGATTTGAAGCTGATGCCGGCAAACCTAGATGAAAAGTCCCCGATAAGGAAAGCTTTTCTTTCTCAGGGCCCCTGGATTGAAATTAGTGCTCCGGCTCCCAGTATTGCGTTGGCTCGGAGAACTAGGGCGCCTCTGTTTTTAATTAGTTGCAGTCATTTTGGTTTTTTGTGCCAGTGCGGAGAGATGGAGTTCGCTCCCAGGCTCCTCTCTGGCCCCAGCTTAGCTGCGCGGCCCCGTCTTTGTCTTCCCGAGGCTGCGGGTATTTTTAGCATGTCCGGACGGGTGGTGGCACTGACGCGCTCACGCTCTCTTGTCCTCCCCTCACAGGTGTGACAGCCTCTCTGCGGCAGCCATGGGGTCTGAGGATCATGGGGCCCAGAACCCGAGCTGTAAAATCATGACGTTTCGCCCAACCATGGAAGAATTTAAGGACTTCAACAAATACGTGGCCTACATCGAGTCCCAGGGAGCCCACCGGGCGGGCCTGGCCAAGGTGGGTGACGCCCCGGGCCCAGCGCCACCTTCCACCAGCTCGGCCCTATGCGGGCCCCGGGCCCCGGGCCTGGCGTGGCCATGGCTGTGGCCATGTTCACCGAGCTGCTCTGACCTCGTTGTCAACAGATGTTACGGAGTTCTTCCCGCGTGCCAGGCTCTGTTGTAGGCCTGGCATGCAGACGTGAGCCCCATAGCCCGTGTCCCCGCGGGAGCCGATGGCCAGGGCCAGCCTCGGGGGCAGTTGGCGCCTCGGGCTTCGTGGTGGCGACACTCAGAGCTGCTCACCCTGCGGCGGGAGGGCGTCGAGAGTCGGGGAAGGCTTCTGGGGAGGCCGGTACCCGTGAACGGTGTCTCTTCTGTGGCGTGTCACTCGTGGACACATCCGTGCGTGCGCATGGTGAGAGCAAACAGACAAACGCAGTCTGGGTTGCTTCTGACCGTGACCGGTTCGCGGGAAGCTGCGTGCGTGGCACCGCTCGCCAGTCATTTGGAAGGTGTGTTGCCTGCTTGTCTTGCGGCCTGGTGGCTCCCCGTGTACCTGGCTCTTCCTCCGTGGTGCCTGCTTCTCTGTTCTTGAAACCGAGGAGTCGACCTTTGTCCACAAAGGGCCAGAGAGTCATATTTTCAGTGTCGCAGGTGGGGCGGCCTCTGTCCCACGCTCAGCCCCGCCACCTTGGTGACCCGCGAGCCGGTAGGCGTGGCCGTGTGCCAATAAAACTTCACTTATGCACGCCGAAATGTGAATTTCACGGGACTTTCGCTGGTCCCGAAACATTTTTCTTTTGTTGTTTTTTTTTTCCCTAACCATTTGAAGATGAGAAAAAACAACACCCCACATTCTTGGCTCTCGGGGCCGTACAAAAGCAGGCGGCGGGCGGGATTTGGCCCAGGGCCGCGCGGTTTGTGCCGCCTGGCGGTAGTGGGGAGAGGGGTGTCCCCCCCCCCACCTGGTTGGGGTGGTTTTGTTACGGGTATCAGTCCCTCTCCTGGTTATGGTCATGCCTCTGATGTCAGCCCACGGAGACACGGCGGGCAGTCCGCTTGCTGCGTCGGCTTCCCTCTTGATTTTGTTCATGTACACGCGCCAGCATTCATACGGCGTTCCACGGCCCGGACAGTTGGGGACCAGAGCCCCCACTGTCGTGTTACCTTTTCTCCTCCCGGAAAACTGCGTGAGGTCCCGGGTTCTTGCGGGTTTGGGGGTTTTCTGCCCGGCTGGCCGAGGGCAGGTGTCCGCTGTCGGGACAGTTTCCTGCCTGCTCTGCCCTGTCGAGGGTCCCTGTTGGCGGGGGGGGGGGGGTTGTGGGGGGAGAGCCTCCTCTGCCTTGTCTCCTGTCGTTGGCCTGCTTTGACTTTCCCCGGGATGCGACAGCCCTTCTGTTTCTGGTTCAAGTTGTCCCTTGTGCTGGGAGGTGTCGCAAGTTGCTGTCCCGCACGGCTCTGCCTGGGTCATCGTGAGGCCCCCACAGCTCTCATCCCTGCTCCTCTCTTCTGTCTCACTGTCTGGGGCTCCTCTTTCCTGGCCGGCCCCCGGCCCTGGCCGTTTCTCGAGTTTTCCATTCACGGCGCTGTGGTGGCCGTGGGCTCCGTGTCCCCTGCGACCCAGGCCCCCCACGCCTCTACCTGCCTTTGCCCCTTCCCAGTTCATCTCCTTCTCGGCCTCTGTGCTTCTCCTTTGAGCCCCAGTGTTCCTGCTTTGAGCTCTAATCTCAGCGGAGTCATTTGGCTCATTTATTTGGATCGAAGGAAGCTGTTTGGACTGGGTGTTTCCTGAGGCAGGAGTTTCCTGGGTCTGTTTTCCCTCCACCTTTCGTTTTGTGTGCTCCTTCTCAGCTTCTCGAGGGGGATTTTGTGTGCGGCTTCCTCTGTGTGCGGGGCGGGGAGGGGCAGCGTGGGGCGGGCACGGATTCTGTTGCAGCTTGAAGGACGTTGGCGATTGCAGAGGTGCGCTGACCGCGTGCACACACTTGTCCCTTCTCTCACCTGGCTGGGACCGTGTGTCGGGCCCTCGAGTCCCTCAGCAGCCTCCGTGCCACTCCGGGGGGGACAGATGGGGCTCGGGAGGCACGTGCCGGGGGCCTTGGGTAACCCCTGTCCCCTCGGGTGGGGGTGCTTGGTTCTCAGGGCTGCTGGCCTCTTTGGAGAAGGAACACGGTGTCCTGCTGCCTGAGCCAGCTCTGCAGGTGCCGATGTCCCCTCACCCTGGTCTCACTGGTCTCGACCACCTTTCTTTGTGCATCTGTGTGTGTAGTGCTAGGGGTTTTCAGTTTCATCCCAGCTGTATTCCTCACCCCCCGCAAAAGCTCCGGTGGGATTGGGTGGGGGTGGCTGTTCAGCAGGTATAGCTGGGGCCAGGGGCCAGAGCCAGAAGAGGCTTTGAGGGTGTGGGGAGCCCCATTTTGGGGCTATTGGGGCACCCCTGTCTTGTTCTTGGCTGTTCTGTGCATGCCCCTGCCCCCTCAGGCCAGCGCTGCACCCCCCTGCCTCCCTGCCCCCAGCCAGGCTGCTTGGGAAGCGCTCGGGCGGGAGGGAGTGAGGGAGGGGCATGGCGCTGGGTCCTGCAGGAGGGGTCAAGGTGCTTCAACGCTTGGGTGCATCCCTAAGGACTGTCCCTGCAGGTAGGCGGTGCCCCAGTGCCTCCTCCAGCCACCCGTCCCACTACCTGCAAAATGGCTTGGGGAGTGGGAGGTGTCGGGGGCAGAGGCCGGCCCCTCACTTCATTCCCTCTTGTAGGGTCCCCCGCACCTTCTAACCCAGCTGCTCAGATGCCCCAAGCCACCTGCCTGGTGCCGCCTCATCCACCGGGGGAGTGTGGCCTTTCTGTCCCGCTCAGCCTTGGCTGAGGCTTGCCCTCCAGGAGCTTCGAGGGCGGGCCAGTCCAGGGCCACGCCATGCCCGCCAGACACCGAGTCGAGGAGTCAGGAAGCTCAAATGTCTTCCAGCGATATCCGTTAGAGGTTGTTCGCCCCGAAGCCTCCCTTCAGACCCTGGTCTCGCAGAGATTCGAGGGCATCAGGCCCCGGCACGTTGATTTTCCCGAGGGCTTGGGGTCCTAGACCCGCTGGAAGTGGCTCTGTGTCACATGCCTTTTTCAGAACCTGCCGAGTGTGTGTCCACGCAAGTGCAGGTCGTGCGCGCCTGAAGCAGTCTGTTTGGTTCTCCGGCGTCTTTACGCAGCAGCGCCCGTGAGGGATGGAGGAGACGGGCAGGGGAGTCCACGGCTCTCAGGAGGGAGCCGAAAATTTGGGAGTGACGTGTTTGCTTCATTTTGCAGCCTTGGTGTCTGGGCAGGCTTCGTCTGATGGAACTGGCTGGGCGAACCCCCGTTTCCCCGGTGAGCACGTGTGGTGGTGGGGGGGAACGCCGCTTCCCTGCCAAGGGGAGGCGCCACCCCTGTGGCTAAGGGGCTGCTCGGAACCTCTTCCTCTGTGAGAGCGTCTCCCATGCTGGAGCCACCGGCCCTTTTGTTTGTATTTCTGGTGCTTTCGGTCTCAAGTGTGTTAGTCGATCGCCTGACTCTTCAGATTTCCTGCTTGACATCTAAGAAAACCGCCGACCGGCAGGCTGATCCCAGCACCCTGTTATCATGAGGCCTCATGCCACACATGGGCAGGCAACTGTGGCCACGGAGTCGGGAGAGGGCATGTCCCCAGAAGGAGCTTTGACCGAGCAGCCGTGTCCCCATTTAACTTCAGTCAGGGTTCCCAGCCTGGGCCCTGCTGACGCGGAGGCAGGTGGTTCCTCTGGGGGCATCCTGGACGCCGTGGGGCCTGAGCAGCGTCCCTGGCCGCACCCCTGTGATGCCAGGAGCCCTCCAGTGGTGGCAGCCACAGATGTCCCCAGACACGGCCCAGCGTCCTGACTTCCTCTCATTGTTCCTGTTACTTATTTGTGCTCCGTCAGCAAATCGGCGAGGGTGCTGCTGGCGGAAGACCTCTCTGTTGTTAACCGGCAACCAGGGGATGAGGGTTTCATGGCCAAGCAAAACATTTTCTTGCACTGATGTCTGTTGGGGAATCCTTGGGGATGGCAAGGATCTCAGCTGTTCTGGAAGCTGCCGGCAACTTGGGCATTGGTGTGGTGTTCTTCCCTCGTTGGCCCTGAGCTGGGGGAGGCCTTGGCCTCCCCAGAGTTCTTGGCTGCCGCACTGAGAACAGGTTGGTTGAGTTCCTTTTCCCAAAGCTGCTGGGTGGCCCGCTGGGCTCCCTGGAAGGAGAGCTGTTTGTAGACACCTGCCCAGGACTGGGAGAGACCAGCCCGTGTCGGCCCCAGGGGCCTTCAGAGAAGCGAGCCGGGTACCCAGGGGGCCCCAGCCCGGCCCAGAGGGCACGCTGAACGGAAGAGGGGGAAGCAGGAGGGCGAAGAGGCCAGTTGGGCAAGCTCGGCGCTGACCCAGTGCCCCCTACCCCGGGCGGCCCTTCCCCAAAGCCCTTCCTGCAGGCCTTCCGGGGCCTCTCCTGGAGAGGGGTGGGGGTGGTCCCCTGTGGGACCCGCTGCCACCAGGAAACAGCTGTCCTATTCCTCAGAGGTGACCTTCTCAGGTCTTGTTCCCTCACGTTTGTGGCATTATCGTTCTCCTGCCTGTGGTGCCTCACCAGCCCTTCTCTGTCCTTTGCACTTAGGACTTGTCCCTGTCTTCAGTTTCCTTATCCCTTACGGTGCTTATCATCTGCTCGCTCCCACAGTGGAAGGCCCTCACGGATGTTTGTTGTCCGGCATCCCCCCGGTACCCAGAGCTGTGCTTGCCCCTAGGAGGTATCCCGGCCTCCCGGCCTGGCCCGAGGGGTCCTGAGCCAGGCTCGCAGCGCTGTCTTCTGCAGCCGGGGGTTCGGCCGCAGAGTGCCTGAACAGGCGAGAGTGTGGGAGCCCCACTTGCTCACTTTGTGATCGTGCACATAGACATGGGGGCGGCCCCTGGGCTCTGGAGGGGACCGCTCCCAGCCCCCGGAGCCCAGGCTGAGCTGCAGAGGCTTGGCGGGTGGCGTCAGGAGGCCAGCATGGCTGTGCTCCAGCGGGTAGTGTCCGTGGCCCCGCACAGGTCACTGTGGGGGGTCTGAGGAAGTGTGCAGATGGTTCCTGGTGCCCCTCGGTGTGGGACCTGGACGTGTTCCCAGGGCGCCACCGCCGGTCTCCTGGTGGGGGGGGCTGTGTGTCCTCCCGTCTGCAGGCGCCGCTGACTCCCCTCTCGTCTCGCAGATCATCCCCCCAAAGGAGTGGAAGCCCAGGCAGACGTACGATGACATTGACGACGTGGTCATCCCGGCCCCCATCCAGCAGGTGGTGACGGGCCAGTCAGGCCTTTTCACACAGTACAACATCCAGAAAAAGGCCATGACAGTCGGGGAGTACCGCCGCCTGGCCAACAGCGAGAAGTACGTGGCCGGGGGTGAGGCGGGTGTCGGGGGGCGCCCTGGAACCCCATCTCTGAGGAGGAAGCACACCTGAGGGCCTCCAGGCCCCCTGAAGTGGGGCCCTCGGCGGCTCCTGGTTCTGGGGGTGCAGAGAGAGTGGGACATGGTGGGGACTTGTCCTTGTCTTCCGTCCCTGGGCTGCTTCCCCACACCCTCCTGCGACATCTCCGGTCCGATGGTACCTCCTCGGGGTTTCCTGGGTCACACACGGGCACACTCACACGCATTCCCTTGCACATCCGGGTGCGTTTGTGGGCATTCCCGGCACACGCCCCCGGGCTCACTTGGGCGCCCGCCTCCACTGTTGACTCTTGCTTGTTCTCTGTTCCCCAAGCCTCCCTGGCTGGCCGAAATTTGTGCATTTCCGGCAGTCTCTTCGCTCTCAGACATAAGCATCCCACGGGGCCAGGGCGTCGTCTGCCTTCTCCTGCTGTCCTGGCCCCCGAGACAGGGCCCGGCCTCTGGTCGGCGCTGCTGGTATTTGCAGAGCAGAGGGCTGAGGAGAACCCTCAGAGCCTGCGTCCCTCACCTGCTCCAGCTGTCCCCGGTGTGTGTTCCGACTCGGGTGCCCCAGGCCCTGGTGGCCGACGAGATGGGACGAGTGGGCGTCATTCCAGGGGGGCCTGCTGCCCATCCTGAACCCCCTCAGCCCCGAATAAATGCTCTCCCAGGGCCACATCCGTGTTCTCCGGGCTGTGCCCTGAGGTGGGGACTGAGAACGTGTATCCGGCCGCGCCCTGGAGGGGTGGGCCCCACGGCCATGGTCGCTGTGCTGTTCATCCACCAGGTACTGTACCCCGCGGCACCAGGACTTCGATGACCTGGAACGCAAGTACTGGAAGAACCTCACCTTCGTCTCTCCCATCTATGGGGCTGACATCAGTGGCTCTTTGTACGATGACGTGAGTACCCGGGGCCCCCGAGAGGTTCTGGGGGAATGAGGGATGCCATTTCCTGGTAAGCGGTGGAGGGAAAGGTGTGTGAACGGGACTTTATCTTGAAACCTGGATGTTACAATGCCGCGGCCAGCTTAGCTGGGCGTTCTGTCGGGCTCTGGTTACAACCACGTGCCAAGTCTCAGGGTGAAGAAAGAAGGAATTCCAGGTGTGTTTCTGATTTGCAGAATCTTTCCTACAAAACTGTCAGCCCATCTTGCCCTGATCTGACCTCAGGTAGCCTGCAGCTGACCTCCCAGGGGCCTCCTAATCCTCAGTCTAGTACTTTTCCTCTCCAGTTCCTAGCACTCTGTCTTGGGGGAGCCTCGGGGCCCTGAGTTCTAGCCCTTGGGAGGGCCCTGGGGGTAGCTGGGGCAATGGAGGGGCCTCATGCTGGCCTTGGCCTGTTCAGGGGTGTAGACCAGACATTGGTGGAGACATGATGCAGAGGCCCCACCGAGGTGCTGCTGTTCAGCAGATGGGGGTTTGAGTGGGACCCACACTTTTTTAGGGGACAGTTTATTAATATTTATGGGCCCTCTGCTAACCCTAGGTTGGTTGTACCAAGACTGATTGATTTCTAAGCTCTTAAGTCTGACGTGTGTTCTGCTCTGGGGCTCTCCCTGGAGTGGCCCCTCAGCTGCCATCTTTGCCCCTTACCCTGAATCATTACTCTGAAGGTCATCTCTTGCTGGAACATTCTATCCATTCATCCATTGTCCTCATGAGAGTAGCTGGAGGTGCCTCCTGAGTCCTGGGCTTGGGTGGCGCTGCCGTGGATTGGAATAAGGTCCCCTCCTGAGTAGGGTCAGGACCCTCCTGAACCCATTAGGACAGACTTGCGTTTTCCAAAAGGTGTTGGAAAGACGTGACTATCGCGTGGGTCCCAGCAGTTCGCCCAGCTTGGGGAGCCTGTCTGACCTGTGGCCCACGGGCCTTCCAACTAGGGGGTCCTGCTTCGTGGTGAGGGCGGGTTTGTTCCTCTGAGCTGGGCACTAAGGGCGTGTCAAACTCAGGGAGCTCACCCCTAAGAACCCGAGGGAGACGCCCTCGCCCTGGGAGGTCAGGGACTAAGCTGACTCCTGGCCCTGGTTCCCCCTTCTTGGACCTTGGTTTCCCCATCCACAATGAGGGGTACGGCAGGTGCGTGGCTGCCCTCCAGCAAGGGTGTTCCGGACAAGGAGGTTTAGCTTCTCCCTGGGACCCTGAGCTCATCCACTTGGCCTTGACCCCACAGCAGTGGCAAGTTTGTGAGGCCACGTGGCCAGGCCTCATCCTCGTGAGCGTGCCGTCTGAGGGCAGAGCCGCAGGCATGCCTTGGATGTGGCAAGGACAGGAGGGCGGGGGCCCAGAGGCCCTGTCGGCACACACCTCTAACATGAGGGGGCGCAGCCCAGTCTCTCGCGCTGCCCCAGCACACCTCAGCTGCCGTGCGGCTCACCCCAGGGCTTCGAACTTTCCAGGACTGAGCGGTTGCCCTATTGATGGTTACAGAAACATTCAGCACCATGAGCCAACTTGCCCTTGCGCCTGGCTCAAGGTGCAGAAGTTCCTGTGGCAGATTGAATGAGGGACCGGTGGGGCCGTGTCCCTGGGCTTTCTGGGGCCTGTCTGGGTCCATCCACCTGGGCGGTGGCTGCTGGTCCTGTGTGCCGCCTCCAGACGCCAGCCCTGCCACTGCTCCCCATTTCTCTGCTGGCTTCGAGGGCTTCCTGGCCCTGCAAGAGGGGCCCAACTCCCCAAGCCCCCTTTCCCACGTCAGACCGCCAAGGCCTGGAGGGACCCGTCATGGCAGCCCCAGATCAGGCCTCGCCTCTGACCCCATTCCATCTGGGTTCGTGGCCCCTCCTTGAAGGGCTCTGGCAGGAGGCCAGCACTGGGTGTCCCTGGGTGCTGCACCCCCTGCTCTGTGAGAGCATGAGGAGAGAGATTTTCCTGGGTCCTCTGCGGGAGCCCCGTTCTTGATGTTTGTGACCTTCCGTCCTCCTCCCTGCCTCAGGTGGGTACCTTGGGGCTCAGTGGCTGGGAGCCTTGTCCCCATCCCCATCCCGCTCTCCATGTGCAGTCCCAGCCATCGGTGCTCTTGACATGGCCACGGTTGGGATGAAGCTCTGGTGCTCGTCGGCTGGCGCTGGGCAGCCCCGTGCCGGCCTGCAGTTCTGCTTCCTGGACTCCGAATCGTGACTTCTAGGAAGGGAATCTGACCCCAACAGCTGCCGGGTTGGAAGAGCTGAAGTTCCTGTGTTGTGTTTAGGACGAGTGGGAAGTCACACGCCCGTTTTCTTTTCTACAGAGTTCTACGAAGTTAGTGCTCGTGGGGATCGTTCGTTTGTTTGTCCATTGTCTGACCTGCGGTGTCTTTTTTAAAGGAAGCATTACTGAGGTGTAATTCACACACCACACAGTTCCCCCACATAGAGCACACGATTCAAGTTTCTACTGTATTTCACTGAGTTGTGCAGCCATCACCACAGTCAATTCCAGAACATTCTGTGAGCCCCAAAAGAAGTCCCTTCCTCATCAGCAGTCACTCCCTGTCCCCTCTCCAGCACCCACGAGCCCCTTCCTGTCCGTGGAGGCGCGTGTTCTGGACGTGTCACACGCGTAGACTTACACCCCATGTGGCCTTGTGTCTGGTTCCCTCCCTGACTGTCATGGGCTCAGGGTCTGTTCCCGGGGCCACGCGTGTCCGCGCCTCGCTCCTGTCTGCAACCCAGTGACCTGCCCTTGCGTGGTGTTAACCGTTCACTTGGACTGTTTCCACTTTTTGGCCACGGCGAGTCATGTGCCTGTGAACGTGCATATGTGAGTCTGTGCAGACGTATGTTTTCATTGCTCTGGGCACGTCCCTAGGCCTAGAACTGCACTCCTCACGCGCTCATTCCACGTTTACCTTTTGAGGAACGGCCCGTGATTTCCCCCAGCAGGAGAGTGTCTGAGGGCTCTTCTCCCCCCGCCCCACATCCTCACCAACACTTGTTGCTGTCTGTCTGTTTGACCCTGCCAGTCCTAGGTGTGACGTGGCGTTGGCACTGGGGTTTTGATCTGAGGTTTCCTGCGGGTTAATGACGTTGAGCATCTTTGCACGTGCTTGTGAGCTGTGTATATCTTCTTTGAGGAGAAATGTCCATTTCGGCCCTTTACCCATTTTTTAATCGGGTTATTTTTTTTTTTCTATGGTAGTTATAAGGGCTCTTTAGAGAGGGCACAAGTCTCTTACTTGATAGATGACTTGCACGTATTTTCTCCCCTTATGTGGGTTCTCTTTTTTACTTTCTTGATGTTTTTTTTTAAAGCACAGAAGTTTTGAATTGGATGAAATCTAATTTATCTGTTTTTGTTTTACTCGAGGGCTTGTGATTTTGTGCTTGTGTTCCGGGCTTCTGCTAGGGACTCGCCTTGCCAGGACCAACCACTGGTTCAGGGACCTGTAACGGGGAGGGTATGAATGGGATGTGAGGCAGAGTGGGCTTGGGACGGAGAGAATGCTGACGCTCGCTCAGCATCTCCGCAGGCTTGGAGGGGTCTCCAGGGACCGAAAATGGATTGATCTGTATTTTATGAGCTCTCGTGACAAGATGGGACCCGTTTGTGGCGTTAGGAATAGATGAGTCCGGTGGGCAGGGATTCTGGCCTTGTTTGCCTGGTTCCGAAAGCCGTCCCTGTCTCTTCCGGCAGAAGGTGCCGGAAGGGCTGTCTGGCACCTTTGCTGAGCTAGCCCCATTCCACGATTGTCTTCCTCCTTCCATGTCATTGACTTTGAGGCACGTTAATTATTCACAACCAAACCTCAGCCCTCACAGCGTGGCCTTCACTGCCTGTGATTAATGCATAGCTCGGCATGGCATCCAGAGAAAGCCTGCCTGACTGCCTGGCCCAGGCTGAGGGACTGGTGTCTCAGTGTGGGAGTAGCTCCCACTGGGGTTCAGACACTGGGGCGGGTGAAGCTCTGACGTGGGCAGGTTTGGGACTGGCCGTGAGCTCTCAGGCCCTCTGTGGGGGCTGCCCCGTAGCCTTCCTGTGCTCCCGCCAGCCCCTGGGGGTGACCTGCCACCAACCATGTGCTCGCCGCCCTGCAGGATGTGGCCCAGTGGAACATCGGGAGCCTGCGGACCATCCTGGACATGGTGGAGCGTGAGTGCGGCACCATCATCGAGGGCGTCAACACCCCCTATCTGTATTTCGGCATGTGGAAGACCACCTTTGCCTGGCACACGGAGGACATGGACCTGTACAGCATTAACTACCTGCACTTCGGGGAGCCCAAGTCCTGGTGAGTGTCCGGCTGGCAGCCAGGCCGTGGGGAGGGGCGGGCTGCCCACGGGCTCCTCAGGGGCTGGACAGGTGTGGGGGCGCCTTCGGGTGGCCCCTCGGGGACAGGGTTGGGTCTGTGGCCGGGCAGGCAAAAGTTGAGGGGCTCTGGCAGCTTGTGATATGTTGTCCTGTATCCTGTTGGCTTCAGGGGCAGCCTTGGTTGGTGATGAGGGGATGCGTGTCCCCAGAAATAAGCTTCCTGCTCCTTGGAGCTCATGGTTTGCGCCTCTGGTGGAGGCGTCCGTGGAGTGTCTGTTGTACTGGGGACTCTCCCTGGGGTTGTGGGCCCTGGGGGGTGGGTGGCCGTGAGCCCTGAGCCTCCCCTGGCCTCCTCTGTGGCCTCCAGGTTCAGGGGTGGCTTTAGCAGCCAGCCCTCTGCTGTCAGGGCTGCAGTGGGCGTGTGTCCTGAGGGCCGCCCTGTGAGCGATGGGCCTGGCAGGCTGGGTCAAACATCCAGCGTGATCTGTGTTCTGGAATCTGTGAGCTGAGCACCCCCTCCACACCCAGCTTCTGCCGGCGGGACAGCCGGGGGCTGCCCTCTGTGCAAGGTTGCCTTTGTTCACTGGGGTTTCCAGCAGAGATTTCTGAGCTGGGCCTTTACATCTCCTTGCCTCTTCCCGGCTGTCTTAGAAGGTTTTATTGCAGTAATGGTCATAGCTCAGAGGGAGTGGGAGGGGAAGCAGGAACCCCAGGAGCAGTCGGTGGCTCTCTGGAACGCAGCCAAGCGCCTCCGTGTGTTGAGATGGTGGGGGCTGGGGCAGGGAGGCCCAGCTTAGTTGGGGGCCCAGGCAGACCCTAGCTAAGGCGCCGCTCACCTCGGTGACCCAGGCTGAGCCTGTGCCCATGGGCATGGGGCGGAGGCCACCCCCGCTCCCTTGAAGTCACTGGGACGTCCTGGAGCCCTTTGCTAAGAGAGGGTGGGAGCAGACTCAGGAGCCAGCAGGAGGCCCCAGGGGGGAAGCCAGGCCTCCCTGTGCAGGGGTTGGCTATGGGACCACCCTTTCCTCACCTCTGAGGTGGATGCAGTGGGACCCCAACCCTGCTCTCTGGCAGGGGGCTCCTGCTCTGACAGGGAGGGATGCGGAATCATTGGGGACGAACACAGTAGGGGCTGTGTAACAAATGACCACAAACCTAGGGGCTTAACACAACACACATATGTTCTCTGACATTTCTGGAGGTCAGGAGTCTGACTCAGGTTGCACCAGGCTAAACGCAGGCATGAGCAGGTTCCTTCCAGAGGCCCCAGGGGAGACCCAGCTCCGGCCTTTTCCTGGCCCTCGGCCCCCCCTCCATCCTCACCGCCAGCAGCGCAGGTCTGCCCATCTCTGGGACTCCCACCCTCTGCCTCCCCCTCGTGAGGGCCTCGTGAGGACGCCGGGGCCCCCGGGAACCCAGGGTCAACCCCACCTTGGGGGCCTTGACTTAATCCCGTCTGCAGAGTCCCTTTACTGTGTGAGGTGACATCCTTACAAGGTCTGGTGATTAGGATGTGAACATCTTTGGGGCCGCCGTCCTGCGGCCTCCGGCCCTCTGACCTTCGCATTGTGCTGCTTTGTTACCTCGTGTGTTGGCTGGGATCCTGTTAGAATTCCACAGGCTTCTTGTTTTCAAGCCACTTGTCTGTGGCTTTGCAGCAGCTCTTCATCATTGCAGCCTCTGGCTGGGAGGTATTTAGCTTTTAGGAAAAATTTGGAGAGAGAGTGACGGGGTTGGTGAGGCCAGAGGCCTGAATCTCACACCCCGTGTGGTCCTGAGCAGGTGGGTGGAGGCATGTTCTGGTAGGCGGTGTCACCCCAGTGCTGCCCAGGAGGTCCCAGTGACAGCTCGGTTACCCCGTCCCCTCCGTCTCCATGGCCAGGCCAGGCTGCAAGTCCGCGGAGGCCCCAGTCTAGGCCTGTGGAGAGGGGCTGCGCTCTGCCCCAACCCCACAGCTGTGAGCAAGGCGTGGTGGTGCAGCCTGTGGGGTGAGATGCTTGTGTCCCTTTCCTGGGGACTCTGCCCGCCGGCTCCCAGCAGTTGGCGTCCTCCTGATGGGCCGTGGCAGGCTGAGCGCAGCTGAGGACTTTCTGATTCACAGGCCGGGGGTGTGTGCACGAGTGTGTGCGTGTTTGCACGTGAGTCTGCAAGTTTGCGCAAATGTGTTTGTGAGCGTGCGTATGTACACACGAAAGTGTGTGCGTGTGCGTGTGCGTGTTCGTGTGCATCTGTGCACACGTGTTTGTGAAGGTGCGTGATTACGCGTGTGCGTGTGTAAATGTAAGTGTGCAGTCACGTGTTTGTGCCGTATAAGTGTGTGCGTGTGCTGAGGCCCCAGCTCACTGGTCTGGACGGTCCCTCTCGCTGGGGGCCCCGGGGCTGGGGGTGGAAGGGAGGGGCTTTCTGGGCCCTCCCAGCACCGTGTCCCGGTCACGGCCCCGCGCCGCTCCCCGAGCACCGCTAGAGGGCGCCCCCGCCCTTCGGCCCTAGCTGCTGCTCCCGGCGCCCGCGGTCATCTCCCAGCTTCTTCCACCCTTTTTATGGACTCCTGGACCCCAGCAGTGATGGTCCCAGAGGCTCCCTGGGGGCGGCAGCAGGAGGAGAGTGAAGACTGCCGGGGTGGGCAGTGGGAACGCTCAGCTCCCCACTGACGCCCATGTTTTGGCCAGGGTCTACCAGCCAGAGGGATCGGAAAGGGAGAAAACCCACCTTTACCTGAAAACACAGAATAGAACAAAAGAAAGGAGCCACGGCTGAATCCTGGCACGTGCCAGCCAAAGGCAGGTTGAGCTTCGGCCACGGCCCTGCCTGAGGTTGCGGTGGCCTCGGGCGACTGGGGGCAAAGCGTGAGCTTGTGGCTGGCAGGGAGGGTCACAGGGCGGGTGACTGGGGAAGTGGCCTGGGGAGCCCAGGGAGGCAGCTGGGCCAGGCCAGTCCTGAGAGGTGGGGGGGAGGGGGGGCTGGCTTCGAGGGAGGTGAGGGAGAGGGCACTGGGAACGTGAGGGGTGGCAGCCCCCGGCTGACAGGGCAGCTGACGGGCAGGACTGATGTCTGGCTCTGCACGCTCACCTCCTGCCTCCAGCAGCTTGGGGTTCTCCAGGCCGCAGCCCCAGCACCCCTGTCCCCTGCCGTCCACCCACCCCTCACTTCCACCCCTTCGCCACAACCCACTCCGGAGAGCCCTGGGGCAGCATTCGGCAAGGCCAGCATCGGGCACAACAGCGGTTCATCTGAGGGGAACAATGTTCCAGAAGGCAGGCTGACCTTGGTCTTGGTTTCTGGTCCTGAAGGGGGATGGGATTGCACATGGGGTTCCTCGTGCTGAGTGTGGCCGGTGGGAAGAGGCTTCTTAGTGCAGCTGTTAGGATCCAGCTGTTGAGGCTTCCCACCCCCGCCTCTGCCAAGCTCCCTGCTCCCCCAGCCCCAGCAGCTCAGCCCAGGCACCATGCCCTCTCCCCGGGACCCGGGTGGGGGTCCAAGATGTTGGCAGGGCACCCCATGCTCGTATTAGCTGTGTGTGACATTGGCATATCTCCCCATCAGATTGTGGACCCTGGGGGGGGGCAGGGCCCTTGGTCTCCGGCCACCCCCACCCCGGGTCCCTAGCCCCCAGCAGGGGCCTGGTGCAGGGAGGGGGCTCTGGCCTATCAGGGTCCGGGAGTGCCGGTGCCGTGTCCATGGGAACTGATCCTCGGGGCTGAGACGCGTCTTGGGCGCCCCTGACACCAGCCCAGGGGGTGGGTGCGGTGCCTCTCGTCCCTGGGCTGGTGGCTCAGGGGCCACTCAGTGGCGCCCTGGCTCCCTGCCCTTGCCCGGGGCCCGGGGGCTGCTCCCCGGCAGATAGCGCTCCCGCGCCTGTCTCCCTGATTGCGTCGTTTCTCCGGCGTCTGCGGCAGCCTAATTGCAACCAGTTCCGATTATTTCGGTAGCTTTTTTTTTTTTAAGTGTCGCCATCCTCAGGTTTACAGCGTTTTATGAAGCCTTTCGGGGTCTGTTGCTACTTCGGTAGCGTGATTGGCGTGTCACAGCGGCGGGAACAGCCTGGTGCCGGTAAAAGCGTGGAATTGCTTCAAAAGGCCGGCATTGGGTGGTGCTCCCAGGCAGCAGGGCTGAGAGCATGTGAAGCGTTGGAGTTGCTTCAAGATCCCTTTTGAGATGGGGACTTAAAGTAGACCTGGCCCTTGCAACTCACCCCCTCCCTGGCCTTCCCGGGGCGCAGTCGGTCAGCGGGGCCAGGGGGGCGGGCACGCGTGGGCCTGGGCGTGCGGGGGAGGCTGCGTGATTCTACCCTGATTCAAGTGGCTTGGCCTGCAGGGCGGTGCTGGGAGCGGGTGGTGGGGCAGCCCCGGGGCTCGGCATCCGGGGAGTGGCACCCGCCATCCCTGGCCCTCCTGGAGCCCCTGGTGGCCGTTGCCCGCACGCTGTAGGCCCTGTGGGTCCCAGGCCTTGTGAGCAACCAGTGGGGAAATGGAAGATTATGGGAATGGCACCCCCACCTGGCCCGGCTTCTTGCTCAGATCCAGCACCGCACACAGCGTTCCCAACAGCATCTCCTCCTGTTCTCTCTGCAGCTTCCTTGTGCCCATGGGTGGGGTCAGGGAAGGGTGGGGGAGGGAGAGGAGGGGGAGGACAGGCCTCCCAGAAGCCTACTCCGGGCCCCCGGGTGGGGACAGCCAGCATTCCCTGCAGGGTGTTTGTCTGGGCCCTGACCCTGCCCTTCAGGCCCGTGACTCAGCAGCATTCCCTCAGAGTGGTGGGCACTGGTCCCAGAGTTGAGTCTCCAGCAGTTTTCTCGAGGCTTCCCCAGCCCCTCCCACTCTCCTGCTTCTGTTCACCTGGGATGCGGTCTTTCACGTCCTCCCCGTGCCCCACGGGCAGGGAGCACGTCCGCCGAGATCCGCACGTGTGCCACACGCATGCCTGCCTGCGCACACGTGTGCAGTGCACATGCATTCACTCGTGCGGGCTCCCTGCATGGGG